TATTTTCATTTACAGTATAAAACATTCAAAACATTACAAAACCTTTTAAAATCTTATAAACAATTTAAACAGTCTTACAAAAACATCTAAAAAACATTGTAAACATTATAAGTCTTTTAAAAACTTTACAAATGAGATATTAAACAACATTTTAAATTATCTCACAAATCCCTCTAAAAACCTTATAAACTTTTTAAACAGTTTATTAACTGTTTCTACATATTCTTATAAACTGTATAAAAAGTTTATTAGAAACGTCAAAACCCTAGATGTCAGAAGAACATCAAGATCAAAATAAACCCAGATTGAAATCAAACCGAGTTGACAGATTAAAATTTACCCCAAATACAACTCAAATTTATCAATACATTCAACCTAATTGTGGAAGCTGAATTCCGCACTAAGAATTTATATGTGAATTCGGAGAAGAAACTTTGGTCCTAAGAAATATCTATAAACCCTACGGGAAAAGAATAGTAAAGTGGAGTTGGATTTATATTGATATGAATATAATATACAATGAGATCTCGAATGAGACGTATTACAAGCTAAAATGTAGTGATAAGCTCTTGTATGAGTCAAAAGTTGGCGAACTCTGCTCGTACTCCATATATTTATACCTCAAATCAGTTCCTCGATCCAACTCCACGGATCTAGGGATGGTTTGCATATCTCGGGCACGTTCTTGGCATATTCTCCGCGAATATCACTCCTACGGTTGTGCTAACCTCCATGTTGACTCGTTCTTAGCTCGTCAGCTCTGCTTCCGTTTACTCAGCACTCGCAGGCTGACTTAGCACTCGCAGGCTGACTTGGGCTTAATCTCGGATCTTATCCTTTCTCAGTTCTTTTATCTTTTATAAACTGTATTTACTCGGGCTTTTTAGTGGGCATGATCCGGTGACGAATCCAGGTCCAACACTAATCGAATCAAAAATCTTAGATTTGTAACCAAAATCGAATAAAAAACTCATATTTGTAAACCAAATTGAATTAAAAAAAACATTAGATTTGTAACCAAAATCGAATCAAAACTCAGATGTGCAACACAAATCAAATAACTATATATGCAACAAAAAATGACGAAATCCGATCTAGAGTTGGATCTATATGAAGAGAGAGAGAGAAAAAAAAGCAGATTTTTGTTTTAGAGAGAGGAGAGAGAGATTTTCATATATATCTTGGTGATGCTAGTTGTGAGTTAGATGAGTAGAAAACATGTGCTTGTTTATTGTTATGTTTTATAGCCGTAGAGGTTCATGCTAGAATTTTAGAAATTTGAGAGAAAAAACAGATTTTTGTTTT